ACCATTCACAAAGAGCACTGCTTCTTGTGCATGCGCACTTGGGACCCGGCTGTCACGCACACTACAGCCGGGAAGACAGCGCGCCGCTGGATTCTCCTGGTGTGCCCACAGATAAGGCTCGGCGTGCCGGCTGTGGCACGCGTGCCACGGGTTCGCCATCACTGGCCTAGGGGGACAATCTGTAGGGGGGTGGCACCGCCCCGCAGAAGAAGGGACCTTTTGAGAATCGGTGGACAGCAGGAAGATCGATGTGGTGGGGCATGGGGGGAGGGCAGTTACAGAGTGACGGTTGTGTACCTCTCCCTCCAGCAGCTGACGAGCCGGGACCAGGGGACAGCCTGGAGCAGGGAGAGGAGAAGTGTCGGAGAGGAAAGAGCCCGGAGGAGGTGAGCTGTGTTGTCTTCTGTGGGCTCTCCTGTCATCCACTCAGTACATTACACACTGACAGATCGTATGGGACTGCGCACACCTCCCCCCTCCCTTCCTGCTGCCCGGAGATCAGCAGCCCTTGGAAGGGGGGGGTCCCATACGATCTGAGGAAGGGGGGGGGGGGGGGGTGGTCCCATACGATCTGAGGAAGAGGAGGGAAGAGAAAGAGAGAGGAGGGAGAGGGAAGAGAGGGGGGGGGGAGAGATGGAGAGGGAAGGGGGGAGAGTTGGAAGGGGGGGGGGGGTTGGAAGAGAGGGGGGGGGGGAGAGATGGATGGAGAGGGAAGGGGGGGGGGAGTTGGAAGAGGGGGGGGGGGGGGTTGGAAGAGAGGGGGGAGAGGGAAGGAGGGAGAATCATACATACACACCTATTGAACTCTCTCGCTCTCTCCTTGCAGGGATGACAGCATGGGCTAGATGGCATCTGATTGGTCAGCACTGCCCATGTGATGGTGCTGACCAATCAAAAGCCCTCTAGCCCATGCAGTGCACTGATGGGGGGGGATCTGATCATCATGACATCATCATTGCTGCATTTACTGCGTTTTTATTGGTAAATCATGGACTGCGCCTTTAAATATTCTGTCTGACTTTTACCATCTTCAGTGTTCACTGGTTGGCTGTAGAAGGTCTCTGATTGGTTCTCCTCCTGGTCCGGAGGGGCTCATGAATTATTAATGTGTGGATGTGATTGCCGGGCGTCCTCGGAGGGGGGAGGGGCGGGGCTGTCTTCCGCTTTATACCCAATTTTTTGAGAATGTGTCTTCATCCAGTAATGACCAATGAGTGTACAGCTACTGCACAATGATGATGAACCCCCCCCCCACCCCCATTCCACCACATGATGTCATCATCACTGGGTCTCTGTGGTTTTATATGAAATGCTGGCAGATCATGGCTGGTGAGAGGGGCCAATCCAATTATTTTGGATGGACAGGCAGCACAGAAAACTATACCCAACCCCCAATTTCTATCTGAAACAGTTGGATGCTCTGAATGTTTGGAATCGCCATCGCACACAATGCAATTATCAGAGAGAATATAAAAGATTGTTTTCTGGGTCTCTGTAATGATTTGTAATTTTCATAATCTATTATTTCTGTGTTTTCCTTTCAGTGTTGCTGTCAGTGTCGGGGTGAGGATCGGGGAGCGGACTCATCATGGGGCTTCTATCCGACCAAAACCGCAGGCAGGCGCTCTCCCGCATCATCACCAGGCTCAACGCCCCCCTCTGGTGAGTAGTGGTAATGTATGTGCTTTGTGTGCTGGGTCTCCACCCACTCTAGGATCATTGGAAGCAGTGCTGAGTCTAGGCCCGCCCACTTTAGAATCCTTTGATGGAGTGCTGAGTCTAGGCCCGCCCACTTTAGAATCATTGGAAGGTGCGCTGAGTCTAGGCCCCGCCCACTTTAGGATCATTGGCAGGAGTGCTGAGTCTAGGCCCGCCCACTTTAGAATCATTTGATGGAGTGCTGAGTCTAGGCCCACCCACTTTAGAATCATTGGAAGGTGCGCTGAGTCTAGGCCCGCCCATTTTATGGTCATTGGAAGGTGCGCTGAGTCTAGGCCCGCCCATTTTATGGTCATTGGAAGGTGCGCTGAGTCTAGGCCCGCCCATTTTATGGTCATTGGAAGGTGCGCTGAGTCTAGGCCCGCCCATTTTATGGTCATTGGAAGATGCGCTGAGTCTAGGCCCGCCCATTTTATGGTCATTGGAAGGTGCGCTGAGTCTAGGCCCGCCCATTTTCTGGTCATTGGAAGGTGTGCTGAGTCTAGCCCTGCCCACTCTATGGTCATTGGAAGATGCGCTGAGTCTAGGCCCGCCCATTTTATGGTCATTGGAAGGTGCACTGAGTCTAGACCCGCCCATTTTATGGTCATTGAAAAGTGCGCTGAGTCTAGGCCCGCCCATTTTATGGTCATTGAAAGGTGCGCTGAGTCTAGGCCCGCCCACTTTATGGTCAATGGAAGGTGTGCTGAGTCTAGGCCCGCCCACTTTATGGTCATTGGAAGGTGTGCTGATTCTAGGCCCGCCCACTCTATGGTCATTGAAAGGTGCGCTGAGTCTAGGCCTGCCCACTTTATGGTCATTGGAAGGTGTGCTGAGTCTAGGCCCGCCCACTCTATGGTCATTGGAAGGTGTGCTGAGTCTAGGCCCGCCCACTTTATGGTCATTGGAAGGTGTGCTGAGTCTAGGCCCCCCCGCCCACTCTATGGTCATTGGAAGGTGTGCTGAGTCTAGGCCCGCCCCAGCATCATCATGCCTGACTCTTCTATTGGTTCCAGGGGATAATTGTTCTGACTGACTCGTATCTGTCATGCTGGGGGGGAGGGGCCATATACAGCTCCCGTATTATAAATCTTTCCACATGTATCGTGTCTGAATGCTCCGCCTTCTCCCCGCCTCTCCGCAGTGTCATCAGCTATCTGATTGGTGTGGGCTGGTTCCTGGGACTGGCCTTCCAGCCGTTCACTCTGCGCACCTACATATCCGAGAACTCCATGGGCTCCACCATGGTGGATGAGAAGTTCATCTACGGGGACCGAGCGCTCTCCTACGCCCGAGAGTTCGCTGCACACAAGAAGTCTGCCGGGGTGAGTGATGAGGAGGAGGGGGCATTTCCTCAGTCTCCTCCCCCAGAGATCACACTGTACATTGTAACTTTGTAGAAGGAGGAGGAGTCATTTCCTCAGTCTCCTCCCCCAGAGATCACACTGTACATTGTAACTTTGTAGAAGGAGGAGGGGGCATTTCCTCAGTCTCCTCCCCTAGAGATCACACTGTACATTGTAACTTTGTAGAAGGAGGAGGGGGCATTTCCTCAGTCTCCTCCCCCACCTAGAGATCACTGTACATTGTACCTTTGTAGAAGGAGGAGGAGGCATTTCCTCAGTCTCCTCCCCCAGAGATCACACTGTACATTGTAACTTTGTAGAAGGAGGAGGGGGCATTTCCTCAGTCTCCTCCCCCAGAGATCACACTGTACATTGTAACTTTGTAGAAGGAGGAGGAGGCATTTCCTCAGTCTCCTCCTCCAGAGATCAGACTGTACATTGTAACTTTGTAGAAGGAGGAGGGGGCATTTCCTCAGTCTCCTCCCCCAGAGATCACACTGTACATTGTAACTTTGTAGAAGAAGGAGGAGGGGGCATTTCCTCAGTCTCCTCCCCCAGAGATCACACTGTACATTGTACCTTTGTAGAAGGAGGAGGAGGCATTTCCTCAGTCTCCTCCCCCAGAGATCACACTGTACATTGTAACTTTGTAGAAGGAGGAGGAGGCATTTCCTCAGTCTCCTCCCCCAGAGATCACACTGTACATTGTAACTTTGTAGAAGGAGGAGGAGGAGGCATTTCCTCAGTCTCCTCCTCCAGAGATCAGACTGTACATTGTAACTTTGTAGAAGGAGGAGGAGGCATTTCCTCAGTCTCCTCCCCCAGAGATCACACTGTACATTGTAACTTTGTAGAAGGAGGAGGAGTCATTTCCTCAGTCTCCTCCCCCAGTGATCAGACTGTACATTGTAATTTTGTAGAAGGAGGAGGAGGCATTTCCTCCGTCTCCCCTCCCCCAGTGATCAGACCGTACATTGTAACTTTGTAGAAGGAGGAGGAGGCATTTCCCCAGTCTCCCCTCCCCCAGTGATCAGACTGTACATTGTAACTTTGTAGAAGGAGGAGGAGGCATTTCCTCAGTCCCCTCCCCCAGTGATCACACTGTACATTGTAACTTTGTAGAAGGAGGAGGAGGCATTTCCTCAGTCTCCTCCCCCAGTGATCAGACTGTACATTGTGACTTTGTAGAAGGAGGAGGAGGCATTTCCTCAGTCTCCTCCCCCAGTGATCAGGGGCTGATCTGTGTCAGACATTTGTGAACACGGCCAGGAACGGCACAGACAGCAGACATGACTGTGACACTCCCAAGTATCTCAGCCCAGGAAGTAGATGGAGACCCTGGATGATGCCTGAATAAAGATGGTGCCGTCCTCCTATGAAGACATTGGGGGGAGTCCTGTGATCTCTGTGAGAAGTCATAGATACCTGGCAGGGTGACACAGGACTGACCATGCTGCGCTTACCATGAGAAGAGCTGATGACAGATCCCCTTTAGAAGGTCTTTAATGTAGCGCAGCATTTCCTTGTTACATTGTTGGGGGTCCTGACAGCCATTGTCTGCTTTCTGTATCTCAGGGGGTCTCCCGTGGCCTGGCTGGAGAGGACGATGCGGGGGATGGGCCTGGAGGTGTACACACAGAGCTTCGTCCGGAATCTGCCCTTCCCTGATGAGGCCACTGAGAGATTCGTATGTATGGCCGATGCGGTGCTCCCACATGGGGGACGATGACTTTCCTCACATTGGAATGATTCTATTATTACAGCCAAACTTTTCCATCCACATTACATATCTTACGTTAGACCGTGTGATGTCATCACTGGGTCTCTGTGCTTCTCTATGCAGTGCCGGCAGATCATGGCTGGTGGGAGGAGCCAACAGGGTGCTATACATAGCTTCCTGAAAAGATCATAGCACCCTGCCTCTGCCAGTCAGAGACATTTCTGCACCTTGTACCAATGATGATGTGTGATGTACTTTGCAGGATTTCCAGTCATAGGAGATCAGATCACATATTAGTTTGTCTCTTACAGATGGTGAAGGGAACCAATGTGTACGGCATCCTGCGGGCCCCTCGTTCTGCCAGCACGGAGTCCCTGGTGCTCAGCGTACCCTGCAGTGAGGGGCAGAATAACAACCAGGCTGTGGGGCTCCTCCTATCTCTGGCATCCTACTTCAGAGGTAAACCTGGATTCTGCCTCATCTGACCAGCAGAGGGCGCTCTTCTCCCCGACTGACCAGCAGAGGGCGCTCTTCTCCCCGACTGACCAGCAGAGGGCGCTCTTCTCCCCGACTGACCAGCAGAGGGCGCTCTTCTCCCCGACTATCTGACCAGCAGAGGGCGCTCTTCTCCCCGACTATCTGACCAGCAGAGGGCGCTCTTCCCCCTGACTGTGTGACCAGCAGAGGGCGCTCTTCCCCCTGAATGTGTGACCAGCAGAGGGCGCTCTTCTCCCCGACTGTGTGACCAGCAGAGGGCGCTCTTCTCCCCGACTGTGTGACCAGCAGAGGGCGCTCTTCTCCCCGACTGTGTGACCTGCAGAGGGCGCTCTTCTCCCCGACTGTGAGACCAGCAGAGGGCGCTCTTCTCCCCGAATGTGTGACCAGCAGAGGGCGCTCTTCTCCCCGAATGTGTGACCAGCAGAGGGCGCTCTTCTCCCTGACTGACCAGCAGAGGGCGCTCTTCTCCCTGACTGACCAGCAGAGGGCGCTCTTCTCCCTGACTGACCAGCAGAGGGCGCTCTTCTCCCTGACTGACCAGCAGAGGGCGCTCTTCTCCCTGACTGACCAGCAGAGGGCGCTCTTCTCCCTGACTGACCAGCAGAGGGCGCTCTTCTCCCTGACTGACCAGCAGAGGGCGCTCTTCTCCCCGACTGACCAGCAGAGGGCGCTCTTCTCCCCGATTGACCAGCAGAGGGCGCTCTTCTCCCTGAATGTGTGACCAGCAGAGGGCGCTCTTCTCCCCGACTGTGTGACCAGCAGAGGGCGCTCTTCCCCCCGACTGTGTGACCAGCAGAGGGCGCTCTTCCCCCCGACTGTGTGACCAGCAGAGGGCGCTCTTCTCCCCGACTGTGTGACCAGCAGAGGGCGCTCTTCTCCCTGAATGTGTGACCAGCAGAGGGCGCTCTTCTCCCCGACTGTGTGACCAGCAGAGGGCGCTCTTCTCCTTGACTGTGCGACCAGCAGAGGGCGCTCTTCTCCCCGACTGTGTGACCAGCAAAGGGCGCTCTTCTCCCCGACTGTGTGACCAGCAGAGGGCGCTCTTCTCCTTGACTGTGCGACCAGCAGAGGGCGCTCTTCTCCCTGACTGTGCGACCAGCAGAGGGCGCTCTTCTCCCCGACTGTGCGACCAGCAGAGGGCGCTCTTCTCCCTGACTGTGCGACCAGCAGAGGGCGCTCTTCTCCCCGACTGTGCGACCAGCAGAGGGCGCTCTTCTCCCTGACTGTGCGACCAGCAGAGGGCGCTCTTCTCCCTGACTGTGTGACCAGCAGAGGGCGCTCTTTCTCCCCCCCGACTGTGTGACCAGCAGAGGGCGCTCTTCCCCCCCCTGACTGTGTGACCAGCAGAGGGCGCTCTTTCCCCCCTGAATGTGTGACCAGCAGAGGGCGCTCTTCCCCCCGACTGTGTGACCAGCAGAGGGCGCTCTTCCCCCCGACTGTGTGACCAGCAGAGGGCACTCTTCTCCCCGACTGTGTGACCAGCAGAGGGCGCTCTTCTCCCTGAATGTGCGACCAGCAGAGGGCGCTCTTCTCCCCGACTGTGTGACCAGCAAAGGGCGCTCTTCTCCCCGACTGTGTGACCAGCAGAGGGCGCTCTTCTCCTTGACTGTGTGACCAGCAGAGGGCGCTCTTCTCCCCGACTGTGGGACCAGAAGAGGGCGCTCTTCTCCCCGACTGTGCGACCAGCAGAGGGCGCTCTTCTCCCCGACTGTGGACCAGCAGAGGGCGCTCTTCTCCCCGACTGTGGGACCAGCAGAAGGCGCTCTTCTCCCCGACTGTGGGACCAGCAGAGGGCGCTCTTCTCCCCGACTGTGGGACCAGCAGAGGGCGCTCTTCTCCCCGACTGTGGGACCAGCAGAGGGCGCTCTTCTCCCCGACTGTGGGACCAGCAGAGGGCGCTCTTCTCCCCGACTGTCGGACCAGCAGAGGGCGCTCCCCCGACTGTGGGACCAGCAGAGGGCGCTCTTCTCCCGACTGTCGGACCAGCAGAGGGCGCTCTTCTCCCCGACTGTCGGACCAGCAGAGGGCGCTCTTCTCCCCGACTCTTTGACCAGCAGAGGGCGCTCTTCTCCCCGACTGTGTGACCAGCAGAGGGCGCTCTTCTCCCCGACTGTGTGTGACCAGCAGAGGGGGCTCTTCTCCCTGAATGTGCGACCAGCAGAGGGCGCTCTTCTCCCCGACTGTGTGACCAGCAAAGGGCGCTCTTCTCCCCGACTGTGTGACCAGCAAAGGGCACTCTTCTCCTCGACTGTGTGACCAGCAGAGGGCGCTCTTCTCCCCGACTGTGGGACCAGCAGAAGGCGCTCTTCTCCCCGACTGTGGGACCAGCAGAGGGCGCTCTTCTCCCCGACTGTGGGACCAGCAGAGGGCGCTCTTCTCCCCGACTGTGGGACCAGCAGAGGGCGCTCTTCTCCCCGACTGTGGGACCAGCAGAGGGCGCTCTTCTCCCCGACTGTGGGACCAGCAGAGGGCGCTCTTCTCCCCGACTGTGGGACCAGCAGAGGGCGCTCTTCTCCCCGACTGTGACCCGACTGTGGGACCAGCAGAGGGCGCTCTTCTCCCCGACTGTCGGACCAGCAGAGGGCGCTCTTCTCCCCGACTGTGGACCAGCAGAGGGCGCTCTTCTTCTCCCCGACTGTCGGACCAGCAGAGGGCGCTCTTCTCCCCGACTGTCGGACCAGCAGAGGGCGCTCTTCTCCCCGACTGTCGGACCAGCAGAGGGCGCTCTTCTCCCCGACTGTGTGACCAGCAGAGGGCGCTCTTCTCCCCGACTGTGTGACCAGCAGAGGGGGCTCTTCTCCCTGACTGTGGACCAGCAGAGGGCGCTCTTCTCCCCGACTGTGTGACCAGCAGAGGGCGCTCTTCTCCCCGACTGTGTGACCAGGAGGGCGCTCTTCTCCCCGACTGTGGGACCAGCAGAGGGCGCTCTTCTCCTCGACTGAGGACCAGCGGGCGCGCTCTTCTCCCCGACTGTGGGACCAGCAGAGGGCGCTCTTCTCCCCGACTGTGCGACCAGCAGAGGGCGCTCTTCTCCTCTCCCCGACTGTGGACCAGCAGAGGGCGCTCTTCTCCCCGACTGTGGGACCAGCAGAGGGCGCTCTTCTCCCCGACTGTGGGACCAGCAGAGGGCGCTCTTCTCCCCGACTGTGGGACCAGCAGAGGGCGCTCTTCTCCCCGACTGTGGGACCAGCAGAGGGCGCTCTTCTCCCCGACTGTGGGACCAGCAGAGGGGCGCTCTTCTCCCCGACTGTGGGACCAGCAGAGGGCGCTCTTCTCCCCGACTGTGGGACCAGCAGAGGGCGCTCTTCTCCCCGACTGTGGGACCAGCAGAGGGCGCTCTTCTCCCCGACTGTGGGACCAGCAGAGGGCGCTCTTCTCCCCGACTGTGGGACCAGCAGAGGGCGCTCTTCTCCCCGACTGTGGGACCAGCAGAGGGCGCTCTTCTCCCCGACTGTGGGACCAGCAGAGGGCGCTCTTCTCCCCGACTGTGGGACCAGCAGAGGGCGCTCTTCTCCCCGACTGTGGGACCAGCAGAGGGCGCTCTTCTCCCCGACTGTGGGACCAGCAGAGGGCGCTCTTCTCCCCGACTGTGGGACCAGCAGAGGGCGCTCTTCTCCCCGACTGTGGGACCAGCAGAGGGCGCTCTTCTCCCCGACTGTGGGACCAGCAGAGGGCGCTCTTCTCCCCGACTGTGTGACCAGCAGAGGGCGCTCTTCTCCCCGACTGTGTGACCAGCAGAGGGCGCTCTTCTCCCCGACTGTGTGACCAGCAGAGGGCGCTCTTCTCCCCGACTGTGTGTGACCAGCAGAGGGCGCTCTTCTCCCTCACTGACCAGCAGAGGGCGCTCTTCTACTTGTTAGGATTATAGGGAGGGTTGGTGTCAGTGTTAGGAGGACGTTACCATTTGGAATTACTCTTCTGCACCAAAGGTTTCAGCTCTATGGCTTCATCAGAGCTGGGGGTTACTACTAACTGGGGGATCATCAGAGCTGGGGGTTACTACTGATGGGGGATCATCAGAGCTGGGGGGTTACTACTAACTGGGGGATCATCAGAGCTGGGGGGTTACTACTGATGGGGGATCATCAGAGCTGGGGGTTACTACTGATGGGGGATCAGCAGAGCTGGGGGTTACTACTGAGCGGGGGATCAGCGGAGCTGGGGGTTGCTAATGAGCGGGGGATCAGCAGAGCTGGGGGTTGCTACTAAGCAGGGGATCAGCAGAGCTGGGGGTTGCTACTAAGCGGGGGATCAGCAGAGCTGGGGGTTGCTACTAAGCGGGGGATCAGCAGAGAGAGCTGGGTGTTGCTACCGAGCGGGGGATCAGCAGAGCTGGGGGTTGCTACTAAGCGGGGGAACAGCAGAGCTGGGGGTTATTACTGAGCAAGGGATCAGCAGAGCTGGGGGTTACTACTAAGCGGAGGATAAGCAGAGCTGGGGGCTACTACTATCTGGGGGATCAGCAGAGCTGGGGGCTACTACTATCTGGGGGATCAGCAGAGCTGGGGGCTACTACTATCTGGGGGATCAGCAGAGCTGGGGGTTACTACTGAACAGGGGATCTGCTGAGCCCCATTAAAACAAATAGAAAATCAAGACACACACAGGCCAAACTTAATTATAGCTTCAGAAAAGCATCGACAACACGTGAGCAGATCATGGTGGGGGGTTCCGTGTGTACAGAGTACAATCCGATCTGCTTTAGTACCGATCTCCCATTATGACTTTGCGCTTCTCTTGTGAACAATTTCCGGAAGTCGAATATCTTCCCGTCCCGTCACTTGCGGGTGACCGATCAGTATATAGGGCAGGTCACACATATGTCTCCTGTGTATGGAGTTGCTTGGTCGTCTCATGTGGAATTCATCTCCCGGTGTGTGCACAGGGCAAATCTACTGGGCCAAGGACATCATCTTCCTGGTGAATGAACATGACCTGATCGGGATGGAGGCGTGGCTGGAGGGCTACCATGATGTCAATGTCACAGGTAGGGGGCGGGGTCTGCAATCCGATACATTGATTACTTGTTACATTGTAATTGTAGTCAAGATGAATCCCACAGATTGATGGAATCCGGGACTGACGTTGTCCCATACTTCCCTGCCTGTGGTGTATACGGGCCGGTGAGCCGCTCCCCAGCAGTGATGGGTGATGTAGATGGGACTTCATTGTATGTTGTGATGGGGGGTGTAACCGACCCGGAGTCCACGTCTGGATCCAGTAAACCCGACCATGGAACCTTCAACACCGTAATGCTCAAAACACTTCCTGGTGATCCCCACCGTTGTCTCCTCTCCCTCCAGAGATAAAGTCGTCGGTGATGATGGGACGGGCGGGCGGGCGCCATTCAGGCAGCCATATCCCTGGAGATGAGCAGTGATGTCATCACCAGCTTTGATGTCGTGGTTGAGGGACTCAATGGACAGTTGCCCAACCTGGACATGGTGAACCTGTTCCTCGCCTTCTGCCAGAAGAACCAGCTGCTGTGTACCATCCAAGGCAAAGTGGGTGACCTCTGACCTTCTGCATCATCACTGACTCCTCCAATCCCTTCTCTTATCCCGCTTCATGACCTCTGACCTCATCATTATATCCTGCACAACTGTCTTTCATCTTCTGCCATGACCTCTGACCTTCTACACCACTACTGACTCCTTTAATACTTCCCTTCACTTATCCCATTTCATGACCCCTGACCTCATCACTGCTTCCTCCAATCCTCACTGTTATCCACCACCTTGACCTCTGACCTCATCACTGCTTCCTCCAATCCTCTCTGTTATCCACCACCTTGACCCTGACCTCATCACTGCTTCCTCCAATCCTCTCTGTTATCCACCACCTTGACCTCTGACCTCATCACTGCTTCCTCCTCCTCAAATCCTCTCTGACCTAATCACTGCTTCCTCCAATCCTCACTGTTATCCACCACCTTGACCGCTGACCTCATCATTGCTTCCTCCAATCCTCTCTGCTATACACCACCTTGACCTCTGACCTCATCACTGCTTCCTCCAATCCTCTCTGTTATCCACCACCTTGACCTCTGACCACATCATTGCTTACTTCAATTCTTTCTTCTCCCCCTTCATGACCTCTGACCTTATTACTGTATCCTCCAGTCCTCTCTTTTTCCCGTCCTTGACCTCTTAACTCTCACATTATCACTGCATCCCTTACTGACCTTCTACATCTGACCTCTGACCTTCTACATCACCATTGTCCCCACCCCCCATTCCTCCTTCTCCCATCTCAGTGACCTTTGATGTTCTACTGCCCCCTCCACTCCCGACTTTTCTTATCTCTCTGTAACCTCAACATCACAGCCTCCTCCAATCATAACTCTCATATCTGTCCATGTGGCCTCTGAGCTCTTACATCATCACAGCCTCCTCCAATCATAACTCTAATATCTGTCCATGTGACCTGTGATCTCTGACATCATCACAGCCTCCTCCAATCATAACTCTCATATCTGTTTATGTGACCTCTGAGCTGTTACATCATCACATCCTCCTCCAATCATAGCTCTTGTATCTGTCCATGTGACCTCTGACATCATCACAGCCTCCTCCAATCATAACTCTAATATCTGTCCATGTGACCTCTGACATCATCACAGCCTCCTCCAATCATAGCTCTCCTATCTGTCCATGTGACCTCTGACATCACAGCCTCCTCCAATCATAACTCTCGTATCTGTCCATGTGACCTCTGACATCATCACAGCCTCCTCCAATCATCTGTAGGTCCAATGTATCTGTCCAGTATACACAGGAATGTTCTCTATATAACATGCTGCTTTGTGTCTGTGGTGCAGCTGCAGCGGAACGACTTTGACAGTTTGCCGGCTCACATCCACAACCTGCATGTGACCTCTGATCACAGCCTCCTCCAATCATAACTCTCGTATGTGACCTCTGACATCATCACAGCCTCCTCCAATCATAGGTCTTGTATCTGTCCAGTATACACAGGAATGTTCTGATCTGTGGTTCTTGACAAGCAGGGCTCCAGACGATGGCCGGCCACAAGGGGACCACGGCCTCTTCCTCCGATATCACATCGAAGCCATCACCCTGCGTGGCATCAACAGCTTCCGCCAATACAAATACGACATGGTCACCATTGGACAGTGAGTACCCGTGGCGGCCCACAGTCACAGACGTGGACCTATTTACACTGAACCTAGTTTACCTGTTTATGTCCGGGAGCTCGCCTTACATTTCATGTACCTTTTACCTTGAAGTAGAACTTTTAGCAACTTTAAAAAGTGTGTTTGTGGTTCTGCTGAATGTTGATATACTTGCAGTTCTGCTGAGTGTCCACGAAGTGGTGCTGTGCTTGCAGTTCTGCCAGGTGTCCAGGAGGTGGTGCTGTGCTTGCAGGTCTGCTGAGTGTCCAGGAGGTGGTGCTGTGCTTGCAGTTCTGCCAGGTGTCCAGGAGGTGGTGCTGTGCTTGCAGTTCTGCTGAGTGTCCACGAAGTGGTGCTGTGCTTGCAGTTCTGCCAGGTGTCCAGGAGGTGGTGCTGTGCTTGCAGGTCTGCTGAGTGTCCAGGAGGTGGTGCTGTGCTTGCAGTTCTGCCAGGTGTCCAGGAGGTGGTGCTGTGCTTGCAGTCCTGCTGAGTGTCCAGGAGGTGGTGCTGTGCTTGCAGTTCTGCTGAGTGTCCAGGAGGTGGTGCTGTGCTTGCAGTTCTGCTGAGTGTCCAGGAGGTGGTGCTGTGCTTGCAGTTCTGCTGAGTGTCCAGGAGGTGGTGCTGTGCTTGCAGTTCTGCTGAGTGTCCAGGAGGTGGCGCTGTGCTTGCAGTTCTGCCAGGTGTCCAGGAGGTGGTGCTGTGCTTGCAGTTCTGCTGAGTGTCCAGGAGGTGGTGCTGTGCTTGCAGTTCTGCTGAGTGTCCAGGAGGTGTTGCTGTGCTTGCAGTTCTGCTGAGTGTCCAGGAGGTGGTGCTGTGCTTGCAGTTCTGCTGAGTGTCCAGGAGGTGGTGCTGTGCTTGCAGTTCTGCTGAGTGTCCAGGAGGTGGCGCTGTGCTTGCAGTTCTGCCAGGTGTCCAGGAGGTGGTGCTGTGCTTGCAGTTCTGCTGAGTGTCCAGGAGGTGGTGCTGTGCTTGCAGTCCTGCTGAGTGTCCAGGAGGTGGTGCTGTGCTTGCAGTTCTGAGTGTCCAGGAGGTGGTGCTGTGCTTGCAGTTCTGCTGAGTGTCCAGGAGGTGGTGCTGTGCTTGCAGTTCTGCTGAGTGTCCAGGAGGTGGCGCTGTGCTTGCAGTTCTGCCAGGTGTCCAGGAGGTGGCGCTGTGCTTGCAGTTCTGCCAGGTGTCCAGGAGGTGGTGCTGTGCTTGCAGTTCTGCCAGGTGTCCAGGAGGTGGCGCTGTGCTTGCAGTTCTGCCAGGTGTCCAGGAGGTGGTGCTGTGCTTGCTGGTCTCCTGAGTAGGTGGTGCTGTAATCTCAGGTATGTAGTCGTGACCCCCCTCCTCTGTACTGCCCCCCACAGGACCATGGAAGGAATGTTCCGCAAACTGAACAATTTATCGGAGCGGCTCCACCAGTCCTACTTCTTCTACCTGCTGCCCTCCCTCTCCCGCTTCGTGTCCATCGGGATCTACATGCCGGCCATCGGCTTCATCATCCTCATCCTGATCCTCCGCGTATCCTTTCTCCTTGTCTGTAAGGCTGACCACACACTCCACAATCTGATTGTACAATCTCCTCTCCAGTGACTGTGGCTGCAGGTGGTATGCAGGTTGGTCGGGCAGATGAGGTAGGTGCTCATATTACAGGGTAGATTGTACAGGGATTGCCCAATCAGATTGCAGTGTCTATGGTGACCGTGGCTGTATACAATGTAACGTTGAATCCTCATCGTTTCCTGGTGGATTTCAGTGACTTGGCAGGAATTCCCCTCCCCCCCGGATCCCTGTAGGACGATCAATGTTTCCCCCTTCCTCCCGGTCCCTGTAGGACGATCAATGTTTCCCCCTCCCCCCGGGTCCCTGTAGGACGATCGATGTTTCCCCCTTCCCCCCGGGTCCCTGTAGGACGATCGATTTTTCCCCCTTCCCCCGGGTCCCTGTAGGACGATCAATGCTTCCCCCCCTCCCGGTCCCTGTAGGACGATCGATGTTCCCCCCCCAGGTCCCTGTAGGACGATCGATGTTTCCCCCTCCCCCCGGGTCCCTGTAGGACGATCGATGTTTTCCCCCCCCCCCCCCCCGGGTCCCTGTAGGACGATCGATGTTTTCCCCTCCCCCCCCCCCGGGTCCCTGTAGGACGATCGATGTTTCCCCCTCCCCCCCGGGTCCCTGTAGGATGATCGATGTTTCCCCCTCCCCCCCGGGTCCCTGTAGGACGATCGATGTTCCCCCTCCCCCCCCCCCTGTAGGACGATGGATGTTTCCCCCTCCCCCCCGGGGTCCCTGTAGGACGATGGATGTTTCCCCCTCTCCCCCCCCGGGTCCCTGTAGGACGATGGATGTTTCCCCCTCCCCCCCGGGTCCCTGTAGGACGATGGATGTTTCCCCCTCCCCCCCGGGTCCCTGTAGGACGATGGATGTTTCCCCCTCCCCCCCCGGGTCCCTGTAGGACGATCGATGTTTCCCCCTTCCCCCCGGGGTCCCTGTAGGACGATCGATGTTTCCCCCCCCCCCTGGGTCCCTGTAGGACGATCGATGTTTCCCCCTCCCCCCGGGTCCCTGTAGGACGATCGATGTTTCCCCCTCCCCCCCAGGGTCCCTGTAGGACGATCGATGTTTTGTTGTCCTTAGCGGTGTCTCAGGCTCTGGATCTGTGGATTAAGCTGAGTCGATCGGAGGCCGTGGCCGAGGACGGGGACGGGGACATAGAGCAGGTAACGATTGGGGGATGGGAGGGAACGATCGTGGATCCATCGAGTGGTTCTGTTACAATGTAACCAATCAGATCGCAGTCTGGGGATCATAGGGAGGAGCCGAGAACTGAACCGGCGTGTACAGGAACAGTAATCCCTAGGATCAATAATCTGGGGAGGGGGAGGATTCCCTGTGGGGGGGAGGAGTCCCTGTGGGGGGGAGGAGTCCCCGTGGGGGGGAGGAGACCCCGTGGGAGTCCCCGGCTGATGAGTATCACGTATCTTATGTCTTCCAGGACACCCGGCCCAGCATCCTGTCTCTGGCCACGCCCCTTGTCATCAGCCACGCCACCGGCCTCAGCCTGTACTACATCCCGGTGCTGAGCCAGGAGATGGCCACCGATCACTTCCCGGTATCCGAATCCGAGGCCGTGGTGCTGATCGCCATCGCCATATACGTGGCTGGGCTGGCGCTGCCCCACAACACGCACAGGTATGAAGAATCTGCCGGAACACGCGGCCCCGTAGAAGCCAGACGTGTGCGGATCGATTCCTTCCGGATCGAACTTCGGACAAAACTCTCGGAGATTCGGATGGATCCCAATCTCCGAATTACAAACGAATCCGAAACATTGGAAGGAAACTTCACCCCACATAACCAATTGTCCGAAGTCGAATTAAATTTGAAACCGATTCAAATTCGAAAATGAAGTTGAATTTGAAATGTAAACATATTCCTGATTTCCTCCAAAGACGGAGGAGGAGATTTACTAAAACTGGGGCACTCAGGATCTGGGGCAGCTGTGCACGGCGGCCAGTCAGCTTCCAGCTTCCGCTTGTTCCATGAAGCTGATTGGTTTCCACGCAGAGCTGCACCAGATTATACACCCTTCAGGTTTAATAAATAACCCCCGGTGTGTTAATATAGCCGTCTTCCGAAGTTTGAATTTCAAAATGAATAGAATGGTACTGAAAATAAAGGAATAGAATAGAAAAAAAAATTGTATAGAAAGAATTTAGCTGTTTTCCAAAATTCCAATTTGGAATAGAATAGAGTAGATAATGAATAGAATAGAAAAAATAGAATAGAAAGAATATAGCCGAAATTCCAATTTCGAATAGCGTAGAGTAGAAAATGAATAGAAAAGAATAGAATAGAAAAAAAAAAGAAAAGAATATAGCCGAAATTCAAATTTCGAATAGAAAAGAGTAGAAAATGAATAGAAAAGAATAGAATAGAAAAAAAAAGACTAGAAAGAATATAGTCGAAATTCAAATTTCGACTAGCATAGAGTAGAAAATGAATAGAATAGAAAAGAATAGAAAAAAAAATAGAATATAGCCGAAATTCAAATTTCGAATAGAATAGCGTAGAAAATGAATAGAATAAAAAAAAAAGACTAAAAAGAATATAGTCGAAATTCAAATTTCGAACAGAATAGAGTAGAAAATGAATAGAAAAAAAAAATAGAATAAAAAGAATATTGCCGAAATTCAAATTTCGAACAGAATAGAGTAGAAAATGAATAGAATAGAATAAAAAAAATAGAATAGACAGAATATAGCTGAAATTCCAATTTCGAATTGAATAAAATAGAATAGAAAATGAACAGGATAGAAAATAAAAAAAAATAGAATAGACAATAAAGTAATAGAATAGAAAACAAAATGGAATATAATAGAATATAGCTGTCTTCCCCAAATTTGAATTTCGAAAAGAATGGAATAAAACAGAATAGAGCAGAAAATAAAAGCATAGAGTAGAGAATAATATAGAAAAAACTGAAAAGAACAGAAAATGGTATAATAGAATAGAATGGAAAAAAATAATATAGAATAAACTAGAAATAATATAGTTGTCTTGAAAATCTAAATTAAAAAAAAAAATTGAATAGCATAGAATAGAAAAGAAAATAAAGAATCAAATAGGAAAAAAATAGAATAGAAATTAAATAATAGAAAATAAAGGAATAAAAAAGAATGAAATAGGAAAAAAAAAAAAATAAAATAGAGCCGTCTTCCCCAAATTCGAATTTCGAAAAGAATATAAAATAAAAGAATAAAAAAAATAAATTAGAATAAACTAGAAAGCATATAGCCATCTTCCAGAAGTTGAATTTTTGAAAAAATAATAAAAACAGAATAGGGTAGAAAAAAAAGAATAGAATAGAAAGAACATAACAGTCTTCTGAAATACGAATTTTGAAAGGAATATAATAGAATAAAACAGAATAGAATAGAGAAAAAAAATAGACTAGCACAGAATAGAGAGAATATGACCGTCCTCCGAAATTTGAATGTCAAATAGAAAGGAAGCAGCTATTCTTCACAATGAATTCGGATCGTTTTGATGTTTTCTATTCAAATTCTTCGAATCCATTGGAAAACGTTTAATCGATTTTGAAAACGAATGAAGGAAACAAAACTAGCCGCTCCGCACATGCCTAGTAGAAGCTGGAGGGGACGTGTTAAAGGGCCAGTCCACCTCAAAACTCGCAATTCAGTTGTAGATGGTTCTGCTGTATCCCCTACCGGGGCATTGAGGAGATCCTTGCACCCTCCCCCCGCAGATCCCAGCTCTGGCCTGTTGGATTTTTCCATTTAGTTAACATTAATAAGATGCAGCAGCAGGAGTGAGACTGCACAGCAGCACCAGGGGTCAGATTTATTGTTGGTATACGGGAAGGTAAAGGGTGGGGTTCACTCTCTTCTCCCTCCACAGGGTCCTGACTGGCACCGGCTCGGACCAGGGATGGATGACCCTCAAACTCATCTCCCTCTTATATCTGGCTGTCCAGTTGGGATGTATCGCCGTCATCAACTTCTCCCTGGGCTTCATCCTGGCCGTCACTCTTGTACCCGTGGCTGCCGTGGTCCAACCTGTGGGGCCTAGGTAAGTGTCTCCTCCACGATACTTGGATAAGGGATGAGAACTGGTGGCTGAAGATAACAATGGACGATGGTGAGGACTTTCTAGGTCGGTGTAGGATTTAGAACTGTGTCCTGAAGGCAGTGAAGAGTCCATGCAGAGAGGTGGAGTGAAGGTTCCAGATGGGTTCAGATTTAACGGCTAAAGTGGAGATATAAGGAGGTGGAAGACTGATGAGGACTTTATGGGGTAGAGTAGGATTTGGAAATGTGTCCTGAAGGCAATAAGGAGCCCATGGAAGGAGGTGCAGTGAAGGTTCCAGATGGTTTTGTATCTAAGGGCTAAAGTAGAGATATAAGGAGGTGGCAGACTGATGGGGACTTTATAGGGTAGAGTAGGATTTGGAAATGTGTCCTGAAGGCAATAAGGAGCCCATGGAAGGAGGTGCAGTGAAGGTTCCAGATAGATGTGTATCTAAGGGTTCGAGTGGAGATGTAAGGAGGTGGCAGACTGAGGAGGACCTTCAAGGTTAAAGATTTGGATCTATGTCCTGAAGGCAATGAGGAGGCCATGGAAGGGGATGCAGTGAAGGTTCCAGATAGATGTGTATCTAAGGGTTAGAGTGGAAATGTGAGGAGGTGGCAGACTGAGGAGGACCTTCAAGGGTAAAGTAAGATTTGGGACTGTGTTCTGTAGGCAATAAGGAGGCCATGGAAGGAGGTGGAGTGAAGGTTCCAGATGGTTTTGTATCTAAGGGCTAAAGTGGAGATATAAGGAGGTGGCAGACTGATGGGACTTTATAGGTTAGAGTAGGATTTGGAACTGTGTCCTGAAGGCAATAAGGAGGCCATGGAAGAGAAGGTACAAAGAAAGGTTCCAGATAGATGTGTATCTAAGGATTAGAGTGGAGATGTAAAGGTGGCAGTTGGGGACTCGCTAGGTGTAGGAGGATCTGTATACTGAAGGCAATAAGGAGCCCATGGAGGGTTGAGTGAAGGTCTGGAAAGACTGATAGTGTAGGATTTGGATCTGTATCCTGAAGGCAACAAGGAGCTCTTGGAAGAGGGTTGAAGATAGGTGTGTAGTTAGAGTGGCAGACTGATGGGGACTTTCTAGGTTAGTGTAGGATTTGGATCTGTGTCCTGAAGGCAATAAGGAGCTCATGGAAGAAGGTTGGTGAAGGTTCCAGATAGATGTGTATAAGGATTAGAGTGGAGATGTAAGGAGGTGGCAGACTGATGGGGACTCGCTAGGTTGGTGTAGGATTTGGATCTGTATACTGAAGGCAGTAAGGAGCCCATGGAAGGGGGTTGGGTGAAGGTTCTAGATGGGTGTGTATAGGGTTAGAGTGGCGATGGTGTCAGACTGATGAGGACTTTCTAGGTTGGTGTAGGATTTGGATCTGTATCCTGAAGGCAACAAGGAGCTCTTGGAAGGGGTTGAGTGAAGGTTCCAGATAGGTGTGTATAGGGTTAGAGTGGAGATGGTGGCAGACTGATGAGGACTCTCTAGGGTAAGAGTAGGATTTGGAACAGGGTCCCGAGAACAATTCTTAGAAATGTAGAAAGGAAGGAGAGCCCAGTGTCCAAAAGAATGCGAATTAGAAGATAAGTTAAAAGGGGGTTTATTGAAAGTAGCGGCAAATACATTGAACCAACGCGTTTCGGGGGAAAGGACTCCCCCCTTCTTCAAGGCATGTTACTGCATGCTATTAAATGGAAAAAAGGTCACAAGCCAGATATTTCTATGGGGGGTATCAGAGAATAGACTGATAAAGTGACAAGTGTTGTTCAAAGTGCAACGGAGCCCACGGAAGGGGTGGAGTGAAGGCTCCAGATGGGTTTGTATCTGATATTTTAAGTGAAAATATGAGAAGATGGCAGAGTGATGAGGACTTTCTAGGGTTAGAGTAGGATTTGGGACTGTGTCTTGCGGGCAGTAAGGAGCCCATGGAAGAGGATGGTTCCAGATGGGTTTGTATTTAAGGGCTAATGTGGAGATACAAGGAGGTGGCAGACTGGTGGAGACTTCCTAGGTTGACATGGAATTTGGAGCTGGGTCCTGAAGGTAATAAGCTGCCCATGCAGAGAGGTAAAGTGAAGGTTCTAGATAGATGTGTGTGTATAAGGGGTTAAAGCGGACACATAAGGAGGTGTCGGACTGATGAGGACTTTCTAGGTTGAAGTAGGATATGGAGCTGTGTCCTGAGAGCAATAAGGAGTCCATGCAGAGAGGTTGAATGAAGGTTCCAGACAGGTTAGAGTAGAAATATAAGGAGGTAGTAGGCTAATAATTTTCTAGGGTTAGAGTGGGATTTGGGACTGTTCTGAAGACATTAGGAAGCCCGTGGAGGGGGATGGAGTGAAGGTTCCAGATATTTAAGAAGATGGCAGAGTGATGAGGACTTTCTAGGGTTAAAGTAGGATGTGGGACGGTGTCCTGAAGGTAATAAGGAGTCCATGGAAGGGGGTGCATTGAGGGTTCCAGATGGGTTTGTATCTAAGGGCTAAATTAGAGATATAAGAAGATGGCAGAGAGATGGAGACTTTCTAGGTGAAAGTAGAGTTTGTCCTGAGGGCAATAAGGAGCCCATAGAAGGGGTGGAGTGGAGGCTCCAGATGGGTTTGTATCTGATATTTAAAATGAAAATATAAGAAGATAGCAGATTGATGAGGACTTTCCAAGGTTAGAGTGGGATTTGGAATTGTGTCCTGAAGGCATTAAGTAGACCATGGAAGGGGGTGGAGTGAAGGTTCCAGATGGCTTTGTATCTGATAGCTAAAGTGGAGATTTAAGAAGTTGGCAGAATGATGAGGACTTTCCAGGTTAAAGTAAGATTTGAGACTTTGTCCTGAAGGCAATAAGGAGTCCATGCAGAGAGGTGGAGTGAATGTTCCAGATGGGTTCATAGCCGAGGGTTAGAGTGGAGATGTAAAGAGGTGGCAGATGAATGAAGACTTCCTAGGTTGATGCAGTGTTTGGAACCGTGTCCTGAAGGCAGTAAGGAACCTATGGAAGGGGGTACAGTGAAGGTTCCAGACTGTGTTGTACCCAAGGTTAGAGGGGAGATATAAGGAGGTGGCACGCGGATCGGGAATTTCTGGGTTGCAGTTGGATTTGGTGCTGTGTCCTGAAGGCAATAAGGAGCCCATGCAGAGAGGTGGAGTGAAGGTTCCAGATGGGTTTGTATCTAAGGGTTAGAGTGGAGATGTAAGATGGTGGAAGAGTGAAGAGGCCTTTCTGAGTTCAGTTAGGTATAGGACTGTGTCCTGAGGGTATCAAGGAGTCCATGGGAGGGAGTGGAGTAAAGGTTCCAAATGGGTTTGTACAGTATCTGATACGGGGATATAAGGTGATAGTGGTGATGAGGACTTTCTAGGGTTAAAGTAGGATTTGTAGCTGCATCCTGAAGGCAGTAAGGAGCCCCCATGCAAGGTGTTGAGTGAAGGTTCTAGGTTTGTGTGTATCTCAGTGCTAAGGAAGCAATTTAAGGACTTTCTAAGTTATAAGAGGAGTCAAGCGGTATCAAGAAATCAATAAGGAGTAATGTAGGGACTGGGAGGGAAGTGGGAAGAGGAGTACACGCTATATATGGAGCTTTCTGTAGAAGACCTGTGCTGGCCTTGTTTTTGATCGCCTGAGTTCATGAAATGCCCCGTCTCTCTTTCCAGGTTTTTTTATGCACTTCTTCTAGTCCTGGTGACACCGGCCACCACCCTCCTTGGCAGCATCTTCCTCTACAGGGAACTGATCGAATACCCCGTCAGCTTGTTAGAATGCTGGCAGATCTTCCTGCAGTCCATCGCGGGGGGCATGCTGGACCATTACCTTTACGGATCCTTGCTCTTCCCCTTCATCGCATTCTTCGTGTACCCATGTTGGCTGCAGCTGTGGAACGTGGTGTTCTGGAAGTGAACTCTGGTCCTTCTATTCCCAACACAAAACTTCTTGGCCTGGACCTTCCTTATCTGTCCAGGCGGGATGACGAAGGAATCGCCATCTTGTTCTCGTACCAGGAAGTGTCCAATCTCAGGTGAAGGGTCAGGCTGCAGAAGTCCGGGACGGGTTTGGGAAATATTTATTGAATCGGAAGCTGCAGGAGATAAGGATCCCATGCATGATGTTCATTTAATGACTTTTTATAACGACATCTTTTGCTTTTTTCTTTGGTTTTTGGAGAAGTTCGAGCCATGAGAACACCGGGGATCAGGAGTTAGAATGGAAATGTTCCACAAGAGTGGAGTGGTGTCCTGTCCAGCGTTGGAGATGCCTTCAAACAGGACCTCCATTTTAAACTTCTTTGAAGTAAACATCCTTCACTTAAAAGAATCTTCAAGCTATCTACTGTTGTCTTTATTATTTGGAGCCTTCTGTGCCCCTCTGATATAGTTTCACTTTGGTACTGGAGTCTGGCCTAATGGCTCTACCCTTCTACTGAGGCTGTCCTTGGGGTACCCTCATTGAAGGAAGGAAGCCCGTTGGTCGTGAGGTCAGGCCTAGTAATAAAGTGAAACTTAATCAAGTGGTGCACAGAAGAGCAGCTTTTGGTGTCTGTTCTTAGGTTGGGAAATTTTCTTGTAAAAATGGGGAAAAAAATGGAATCCAGTCACATTATAAAGTGGAACTCTAGGCGACTTTTCGTACATTTTGGATGGGGTGTAGATGGGTTAGACCCCCTGTCAGGCCGTTGCGTTGGTTGGTCCCAGGGACAGGAAGTGAGGGGACACAGGTAGTAAAACCCTTTCCTTCTCCATACGAAAACAAAGGCTTCGACCCAAGTTCCATTTTACTAAAAGCCACGGGGAGGGGGGTGGAGTCTTTTCACATTGGCCGGACAACCTGCACTCGATTTCCAGTACCCTTCATGATTATATTTTGCCTTCCTTGGTCTATATATGGTTTGGTGGCTGACGTTTGGCAACTTGAACTTTCAGCTCCCTCCACAGATTTTCAATCGGATGAAGGTCTGGAGACTGGCTAGGAAACTCCAGGACCTTAATGTGCTTCTTCTTGAGCCGCTCCTTTGTTGCCTTGGCCATGTGTTTTGGGTCATTGTCATGCTGGAACACCCATCCACCACCCATTTTCAATACCCTGGCTGAGGGAAGAAGGTTTCTCACCCAAGATTTGAGGGTACATTGCCCCGTCCATCGTCCCTTTTGATGCGATGCAGTTGTCCTGTCCCCTTAGCAGAAAAACACCCCCAAAGCAGAATGTTTCCACCACCATGTTTCACAGTTGGGATGGTGTTCTTGGGGTCATAGGCAGCATTCCTCCTCCTCCTCCTCCAAACACGGCGAGTTGAGTTGATGCCAAAGAGCTGGATTTTGGTCTCATCTGACCACAACACTTTCCACCAGTCCTCCTCTGCATCATTCAGATGTTCAGTGGCAGACTTCAGACGGGCCTGGACATGGGCTTTCTTGAGCAGAGGGACCTTGCGGCACTGCAGGATTTCAGTCCTTGTCGGTGTAGTGTGTTACCAATTGTTTTCTTGGTGACTGTGGTCCCAGCTGCCTGGAGATCATTGACAAGATCCTCACGTGTAGTTCTGGGATGATTCCTCACTGTTCTCATGATCATTGACACACTCCACGAGGTGAGATCTTGCATGGTGCACCAGACCTAGGGGAGACTGACACTTGTTTTGTGTTTCTTCCATTTGTGAATGATTGCACCGACTGTTGTCACCTTCTCACCAAGCTGCTTGGCCATAGTTTTGGTAGCCCAGTCCAGCCTTGTGTAGGTCTACCATCTTGTCCCTGACATCCTTGGACAGCTCTTTGGTCTTTGCCATGGTGGAGAGTTTGGAATCTGATGGTTTGATTGCTCCTGTGGACAGGTGTCTTTTATACAGGTAACACAATGAGACTAGCAGCACTCCCTTTAAGAGAGACTGCTTCTAATCTCAGCTTGTTACCTGTATGAGAGACACCTGGGAGCCAGAAATCCTGCTGAATGATAGGGGATCAAATCCTTCTTTCTCTCATGAACATGCAGATCAGTCATCATTTGTTAGACGCATTTCTGCTGAATTTGTTGTTGTATTCTGTCTCTCAGTGTTACAGCGAACATTCCATTGTTAGACCGATCATTTCTGTGTGAGGGACGAACATTCCATTGTTAGACCGATCATTTCTGTGTGAGGGGCGAACATTCCATTGTTTAGACCGATCATTTCTGTGTGAGGGGGGCGAACATTCCATTGTTAGACCGATCATTTCTGTGTGAGGGGCGAACATTCCATTGTTAGACCGATCATTTCTGTGTGAGGGGCGAACATTCCATTGTTAGACCGATCATTTCTGTGTGTGAGGGGCGAACATTCCATTGTTAGACCGATCATTTCTGTGTGAGGGGCGAACATTCAGCATCAGCCGGGGAGCAAATACGCATTTCCTTCACTGTAGCATCCTGGAAACATCTCAGCGCTCCTCTCTAGAGCCCTCAGTCCTGATGGAAGCGTGGGCTGGCTCTAGGGAGGAGTTATGCAAATATCAAACTGCCTTAATGGGCGGGTGTCAGAGTGGAGGAGTGCAGGCCTCCCGCATGTCATGATTTCGGGTGTAGGGGTGCTCGGGTCCTACTCTGAGTCCTCCCAGGTGATGGCATTGCTGCAGGACCTCAGTTACTGCTTTAATCCCAGGACCTGGCCCGGGATGCGGCATTGGTTGGACAGAGGACCAAGAAGGCGGGGCTTGTCCTGGCAAGTCTAGCTCAGTTGGTGTCTATGTACTAAAGGTTCACCAATGGGGAAGGAGATACCCGATCTTTATAAAGCCGGGGGGGGAGGGGTTTCTTCCCATTTCTACACTCTTCATGTCTCCGAGTTTATTTCAAATAAAGATATTGAGAATATGAAAAAAAAATTGTGATGGCTTTGTTCTGATGAGAGGGCGGGTTCACTGGCCGGATGTAGAAATGACTCCTCCCCCTTCCGAAGACTTGAAACACTCCTGAGATTAAAGGGATTGTCCACCTTCGAGGGAAGTTCTCTAGTACGCCCCGCCTTCGGCTCGGGTTGAGTTGGGAAATATTACATAATTCATCTGCTGGGACAGGCAAACAGCCCTGCTGCTGGTAAAATGGGGTTTTCAGACCTCCAGGCTCTGCGGGGGTGGGGTCTGTTGTACAGGGCGGAGCTCTTTACTGAAGAGTCTTCCTGCAAACTGAACCACCTTTTTTTTTTTTTTTTTTTTTTTTTTTTTTTTTTTGTTTGGAAGATATTGAAAGCGATGTTTGTGTAAAGGATTTATTAAAGGCGAGGTCGAGGTGAGTAGTTGTCGGTCAGGGTGGGTGGTTGTCAAGCAGGGTCGGGGGGTGGATGTTGAAAGCGATGTTTGTATAAAGGATTTTCCTGAGCTTTGTGGGGGGGCGGCGATGAGTTCTCACAGCTCACCGGGTATAGGAGAGAAAATAAACCGCTTGGCAGGTACACGGGCTGTGGCTGTGGTGGTACAGGGCAGTGTGGGAACACTCAGGGGACAGGTAGGTAGAGACTAGAGAGACAGTGGCCACCGGGGGGGGGTCTGCCTTACATTGCAGAGACTAGAGAGACTGGAGCCACTGGGGGGGGGTCTGCCATACATTGCTGAGACTAGAGAGACTGGAGCCACTGGGGGGGTCTGCCATACATTGCTGAGACTAGAAGAGAGACTGGGGGGGTCTGCCATACATTGCTGAGAGACTGGGGGGGTCTGCCATACATTGCTGAGAGACTGGGGGGGTCTGCCATACATTGCTGAGACTGGGGGGGGTCTGCCATACATTGCTGAGACTGGGGGGGTCTGCCATACATTGCTGAGACTGGGGGGGTCTGCCATACATTGTAGTGAGTATATACAGTGTGTGGTGTGTGCTTGTCAGGCGGTGTCAAGGTGGGTGGTTGTCAGGTGGGGTCAGGGTGGGTGGTTTGTCAGTCGGTATGGGTGGTTGTCAGGTGGGGTCGGGTGGGTGGGGGGGTGGATGGTTGTCAGGGCGGGGTCGGGGGGTGGATGGTTGTCAGGCGGGGTCGGGGTGGGTGAGTGGTTGGTAGGCGGGGTCGGGGGGGGTGGATGGTTGTCAGGCGGGCGTGGGGGTGGATGGTTGTCAGGCGCGTTGTCAGGGGATGGATGGTTGTCAGGCGGGGTCGGGGTGGGTGAGTGGTTGGTAGGCGGGTCGAGGTGAGTGGTTGTCAGGCGCGGTCGGGGGTGGATGGTTGTCAGGCGCGGTCGGGGGGTGGATGGTTGTCAGGCGGGGTCAGGGGTGAGTAGTTGTCAGGCGTGGTCGGGGGGGGATGGATGCTTGTCAGGCGGGGTCGGGTGAGTGGTTGTCAGGCGGGTCGGGAGGTGGATGGTTGTCAGGCGGGGTCGGGGTGAGTGGTTGTCAGGCGGGGGTGAGTGGTTGTCGGGGGGGTGGATGGTTGTCAGGCGGGGTCGGGGGTGGGGTGAGTGGTTGTCAGGCGCGGTCTGGGGGTGGATGGTTTCAGGCGGGGTCGGGGGGTGGATGGTTTGTCAGGCGGGGTCAGGGTGAGTAGTTGTCAGGCGGGTCGGGGGATGGATGCTTGTCAGGCGGGTCGGGGTGAGTGGTTGTCAGGCGGGGTCGGGGGGTGGATGGTTGTCAGGCGGGGTCGGGGGTGAGTGGTTGTCAGCGCGGTGACGGGCTGGGGGGTGGATGGTTGTCAGGCGGGGTCGGGGGGTGGATGGTTGTCAGGCAGGCGGGTCGGGGTGGGTGAGTGGTTGTCAGGCGGGGTGTCATGTGACAGTTCTATGCCTTGGCACATGATGAATTAGGAGGTGTTGTTTTGCCTAGAACCCGCCCCCACTCCATACACCCCTCCCTGCCTGGACAGCTCATATCTGACCCCCCCCCCAGTCCATTGCAGGACATTATCATGGTGACTGCACTTTACCGTTCCTCTCAGGAATTCTCTCCGT